CAAAAAAAAAAAAAAAAAAAACACTTATGCCATTTGGACTGATAATGCACTCAGATTTGACTCTTAACATGCCCTAATTAAGTGTGTGTATATATATATATATGCACAATTTTATTTATTACATAGTGCCAACAAGATGAATTGATATTCTTTTCATACATATATGATTAATTTATATATGAGTAGTTGTCTTATTATATGATCATCCGATAATACAATCAAATTAAAATTATTAGATGAGTAACAATTAAAAAAAAAAAAGAGTTTCTATACCAATAATAAATGCCACATGCACCATTTTTCAGGTTTTAAATTGACAAATGGTCTGAATTATTCATGCCAAGTCTTTAGAGATCAATCAAAGTTGAGCTTTTCAGCCTCTTGGTGTTGTAGATAATTTCTTATATATAAAACAAAGACTTTAAGCTGACTTTGAGAATGTTTAAATTAAATAAGCATGTGGAGTGTGACATATAATTATATATAAATCCGGGAAATCATAGACTATTCTTATGAGTAATGGGCTTGTTGCCAAATGGCTGGAATTGTAAAATTCTGGAAACAATTTCTATAATTTTATATTTAGAATACAAAGACTTTGTTTGCCAAAAGCATAGGACTTTTTATGGGTTGTTGCTGCCATCTCCATATTGAACTCACAAACAAGTCTTTGTATTGACATCAACTGTTTGTTGGGCATCTCTATTGCTCTAGATGATAGTTAGGGTTACGTATCCACAAAATTTCATTCAAACCAACCCCTGGGTGAACTAATAGTTCAATAAAAACTTTTAGGTATATTATTCAAGAAATCTTAAGTTCGAGTCCCTCCTCGGTTATTAATAGGGGTGACGACTAGAGCTCTTATGTAGTTGATAGTTCAAAGGTCTCGAGAGATTAGTTTAGGTGCGCGTAAGTTGTACCGAACACCCCTCATCTTTGAAAAAAAAAAGTTCATTCAACTTTGTAATCATATGTTTCAAAACTGACTTGCATATTGATTATATATTTGGGTATATGAGTTATTTTTTCAAAAGAGAGAGGCGCACATAGAGGTTATCAGTGATGCAATTAGTTGTTGGTGCGTCCTTGAAGTTAACGGCCGAGTAATCCTCCAATGCTCACCCTTATTAGTAACTGAGGAGAATCAAATTTATGACATTTCGAGTAATACACCAAAGAGTCATAGTTGACCGCCTACCCATTCAGGGGTTGGTTACAAATCGGTATTCCCCTCTTATATATTTCAACTTGAATAATGTTATACATAAAAAGTTGAGATCTCAATTTTGTATTTCAACTCATGTGACAATTGATTTGCAACATCTCCTTAATTATAGGATAGTAGAATAAGCAATTTAACTCGAGAATCAATTGCCACACAAAAGTTTAGATACAAAATTGTGACTCTAACTTTGTATGCGTGACATTAACTTTTGAAATTAAATCGTTTATTAATTTAACGATTAGAATTTCAACCTGATTTTTACAAAATTAAACGATCAAAAGCAAAAAATAATATAAACTTACAAAAGGAAATTTTCTTAGGGTTTTAAAATTCAACAAAATTGTTTAACCCAATATGAAAGAATCAAATCCTAAAAGCTTTTACACAACCAAACTCGTTAGCTAGTTAACACGCATTAACTATCTCTAGGTGACTGAATAGTTCGATAGAGATTCTTATGTATATTACTCAAGAGGTCTCGAGTTCAAGTACCTCCTCAATTGCACAGTAACTACTGGAGCTCTTACACAACTGGTAGTTTTAGGGTCTATTGGGATTAGTTGAGATGTGCAAAGCTTACTCGAACACATCGTCGGTCATTAAAAAAAAAAAAAGTTAACACGCATTATAAATAAAGAATTAAGATTAGATATAAATGATTGGGTGAATAGCACATGAACTGAATAATTAGCACTAATTATTATGGATTGTGAAACACTCGCAAAGATGCTTATCCACAATTTTACTATTAAATATTTTATATTTATTGAATTTCAGTGAGTGAGAAGCAAAAACAAGGTACACTACATTTGGACTTGGACAGCTTGTGGATGCACGGAAATTTCGTGCAATCACGTTTCGTTTGTACCACGTGTCAAAACGCACATGGGCTAGCTGTCGGCTGTTAAAAAGCAGGATCAATAATCTATTTCACGTGTTTTATTCTAATTTTCATTTTCGTTGTAAAATTAAATATAAAACCTGAAAGTCCCAGGAAAGTTCTACCCAACTGATGTTTGATTATTTTTTATTTTTCAAAAATAGTTTTCATATATTATTAAATATAAAAATCTAATTAGTAAAGCATTAGTACTCACAAAAAGTTTGCTTTAGCTGATCTAGATTTATTAAAATATTAGATTAATTATAAATATTTATCATGGTTTAATAATGAATTTAATCTTAAATAAGGTTTATATTTCTAAATAAAAATTTTTGTTTATATAAACATATATAGAGTTTTATTATAGTATATAAGTTATACACCTAATATTTTATTGGTTTCATTTGTATTACATTCTCAAGTTTTAAGATATTGTCACATCTCATATTTTTTTTGTTTTTCGGACTAATTTGTGCGTAACTCGATTAATCTTTCAGTGTCTTAATGTTAATAACCGAGTAAACCCTCTAGTAACTACCCCTGTTAACAATTAAAAAAAATCGAATGAGTTTGAAATTTAGTTTATAACACGTTTTAGATGAATTACACTTGCTTAAAGTCCAAAAGTAAATCCATATAGACCTAAATCCAACACGAATAATATCTATTTAATTAGACACAAAACTTGTAACATGAAAAGTAAAGAGTTAATAATATATAACATAAATTTTTTAGTTAATGAAGTAATTGAGTAAATAAAGTGATGCAAAAAAAAAAAAAAGCACAAGAAATGCATGGTATGGGAAGTGAGAGAATTGAGAAAGAAGAAGAATAAGAAGAAAGAGCACCGCAGATTCCGTGGGATCCAGCCTTGCAATCCAATCATCTCTTCATACACAAATACTATCAATCGTTGTGGCGAAGTTATGCCTTTCTTTTTTCCTTTCCTTTTCTTTTCTTTTCCTTCAAATCCGCCCAAATCTCTCTCTATTTTCTGATCTGTCACCTCCTCTATTTTTACTAAAACAATATTTATTTTCTTCAACAATACGTCTCTCTAACTTCTACACGCCACTGTTACTAAATTTGCTTTTATTTCAAATAATAATAATAATATTTGTTGAAAATTAATAATACTTTTTTTTTTTTTTTTTTAATGATCGAGGGTGTCTAAGCCAGTTTACGCGCACCTCAACTAATCTTTCAAGACATTGAAACTATCGGTCTAATAAGAGTTCTAATAACTATCATTATTAACAATCGAGGAGAGACTTGAATTCATGACCTATTGAGTAATATATCTAAGAATTCATATCAAATCACTCGATCGTCTAGAGATAATTCAATGAATACTTATTTTACTGTCAGAATAAACCCCGACTTCAATATTAAGCAAAATGAATTTCCCAGAAATTATTTTCTTGAATTATAGTTTTATGTGTTAAGAAACGGTAGTGGATCAATTGGGGGAATAATAATAAGAGAAATTTATTTATTTAATTTTTATAATAAAAAAAGTATTATTTGGTTTAATAAATGTTAAATGGTGAAGTGCGTTGGCAAAGTGTGAGAAAGAGAGTGTGAAACGGAGTTGATTTGAACACCCTCCTCAAATGTTTCACTCTAATCTCATTAATTTTAGACAATTTTCAGTTAGAATTTTTGTTTGGTTTTTGGTCTTCGCTTAATTTTGTTACAACCAAAAATTTTCCCAACCAAAAACTCTTTTTTTAACATTTGCAAAAACATTTGACGGACTATTTCACACTTACTGTTGTTCTATGGGTGGGTGTCCTTTTGACTCCAATTAATCAACCATTTCATATAAATATAATACAAACCCTACTCTCTTTTCTTACTTCCTCATTTAACTTGAACAATATTTTTTCTTTCCTTCTTTTTTTTCTCCTCAATCTCTCTCGTTTCTTTTTTGGTGGAGAAGATGAAAATTTATTCTAACATGGAAGAATCTGCAACTGCAACTCAAGAGGAAGTACTTGGTGGCGCCTCCGCTGGCGCCGGCCATATCATTAAAGGAAAGAGAACCAAACGCCAAAGGCCTCAATCGCCGATTCCGTTTGTCGTTTCGACTGGAGATATTACTACTGGGTTTGATCAGAAAGTCGTTAATAATAACAACAACTCGTCGACGTCGCCGGTGAGTTCAGGAGGTGGAGTTGATTACTTAAATAGCACTCAGGAAGACGAAGACATGGCGAATTGTCTTATTCTTCTAGCTCAATGTCAATCAAAAGACTCGCCTAAACAAGAAGTAGTAGAAAATAATGACAATAACCGTCATCATCCTCATCAGGACGAGATGGGGCAAATACATAATAAATTTAACAGCAGGAGATTTCTTGAAGCTCCATCTTCGGGTACCGGCAAAGCGGGTTACTATGTGTATGAGTGCAAGACTTGTAACAGAACGTTTCCGTCGTTTCAAGCGCTCGGTGGCCATAGAGCGAGTCATAAGAAACCGAAAGGGATGAGTGATCACGAAAGAACGATTAATAACAAGTCGTTATCTTCTCAGTTCGTGGTTTCGTCGGATGAAGAAGAGGTCAATTTCCGAAATGTGTCTTCTCTTTCTCTCCAATTGAATAATAATAATAATAACAGAAGCAACCACAATTTGTATAGCAAGAATCACAGCAACAGTAAGGTTCATGAATGCTCCATTTGCGGGGCGGAGTTCACTTCAGGACAAGCTTTAGGCGGGCACATGCGGCGCCACCGAGCACCGACTGGAACAAACACCGCCTTGTCATTGACGCCAACGAACTTGGAATCTGAAGATCAAGCTGCGAAGAAACAAAGAAATGTATTGTCATTAGAGTTGGATCTTAATCTTCCGGCGCCGGAAGACGATCTGCGGGAATCGAAGTTACCCTTCTCTTCAAAGCAACAACAACAACAGCAACCACCACCGCAGCAGCAGCAACAACAACAACAACAACAACAACAAAAATCACCTCTTGTCTTCTCCGCCCCCACTTTGGTGGATTGTCACTACTAAAAGACGAGGTTTTCATTATTTTTTTCTTCTTTTAAAATTCTTTTTTTCTTTTTTCTCTCTATAACTTCTGGGAAGTTAATATTCAACGCAATGATTCGAAGATGAATATCATGTTGATTAACGCAAAAATTGTTTTAATTCTTTTTACTGGTGGAAAATAATATAAGATTAATTCTTTTCATTCTTTTGTTATTTTAGCTTGAAATTCTTGGAAATATAAAGCATTTAATGAAAATATATATTAATTTGTTAGTGAGAAGTCTGTTTAGTGTTCATAAAGTTGCATGATTAGGCATCTTTTTTTCTTTTCAAATGGGTTTTTCTTCTTTTTTCAGTGGGAAGGGGAATGTGTTACACACTTGAGATTGAGAGAGAGAGAGAGAAAGAGAGAATTTGGCTTGAGATTTTCACCGCCATGAATCACACCAAAAACTCTCTGTGGTTTAGCTTTCATTGTAATATTTCACTTACAATTTTCTGTGTACAATACATTTTTCTTTGATTTATACGATAATTAAGTCAATAATTTTATATATGAATTGGGATTTTGTCTCTCCTTTTAACACCATTAAATTTACGTAAATGAATATATAATTTAATTAAAGTATGAATTTATTATTACATCCAAGACTATGAATCTTGTTTATTTTTTGTATGTTAATGACAAAAATAGAATAAAAGGTAAGTAAAAGGCAGTAAGTAACTGGTTCTCTATTTGATACATGAATTCACTTCTTTGTCTTTTTCCCTCCTCTTTAATTAGCAAATTAATATACTTTTAAAATTAGCTATTTTTGTTCTTTTTCTTTTCTTTTCTTGTTTCACCTATTTGTTAGTTACCTGCCTACGCAATACACCTAATCAGTATATATCTGGGATTATTATCCACTGCTTGATGATGTAAAAACCTTCAAATGCAGTACGTCTGCTTTTAGTTTTCATATATTCTGCCTTTTGTTTCAACTTTCTGGGTTCACTGCATAGTTACCCTGGTCATCTGTAAATTTGGAACACAATATTTGTCACATAAGGGCTGAACTTGGTAAATAATGGACTAGCTAATAAAACTTGAACCAGCTAAGAAGAGTTGAGAGAAAACATAGGTGGCGATAATACCCATTAAAGAGTTAGATAAAAGAAGACAAATAAAAAAGCCTGGAAATATCAAGTCCTCGTCCATGTATTATGGGCAATTTTTTAAAAGCAAAATTAGCTGTTCTTAAGCAAGAGTTGGTGCATGTCACCCTATCAAAAGAGAGAGAGAGAGAGAGAGAGAGAGATCAGATAATGATGCAATAATAATCTGTGAGGTAGCCATTGACTGTGAATGGTCGATTAATGCTACTTTCAGCTATGCAAATTGTGCGGTGACAGATAAGTGTTGAGAAGTTTTATTTAGTTTAGGAATTTGGTCAATTTCTTGTAAGGTTTGGTTTATGATAAACTAATCAAAGACTTAGTCTAAATATTCACCATTCATTATAAATACCTTTACAAGAATAAATACTTTGACTCAATGATTAGTTTCTGGGATAATTATATAAGCTACTTTGACAGGTTTACTTGAATTCCAAGGGATAATAAACAAGTGTTCATTTTTTTTTTTAAGAGTTTCTCAAATTAAAACCAACGGAATTGCAAGGCATGAAGGATTGTTTGACAAGAAAGTGTACCTTCTTTATCGGCTTGAAATTTAAGTATATATCAACTAAAGGTGGAACAAATGGGCTGGGTTAGGCAGGTCAACCCTAACCTAGCCCGCATTAGAGATAAGGCGGGCCGGGTTGAACCCAACCCGCATGCAACCCCCGGGCGAACCGGGTTGCTATATGATAACCCGCCAACCTGGCGGGTTGCTATTTTGTTTGCATTAGCCAACCCGGCAGGTTGGCTTGGCCCAAAAAAAATTAAAAAAATTAAAAATTAAATTTTTTTTTCAAGTTTCCCCTATTTTTTTAATTCTTTTAATTAAACTATTATAATTGAACTCTTGCAAACAAATAATTTTACACAATAATATTAAACTATACTTCTAAATCATAAATATTAAAATGTATAAAACTTCATAATATTTGACATATTGTTATTATTATTTTTTATGGTACGTAAAAAAAAAAAAAAATACTAAAGTCTTATTCTCAAATTTCCATGTCTTGTATAAAATATAATTCATTCTTCTGCTAAAATTTCATCAATTGAATGAATAAATCTAATTTTTCTTATACTACAATTTTATTGTATTAAAATTGAATTAATATTTGAAATGTTAACAAAAAAAATTAATTTAATTGAATTATTGATATTTGAAAAGTTAACTAAAAACAATTACATTTATTCATTTATAAATTGTTAATTATTTATTTGAAAAGTTAAATAAATAAAACAAAATAAAATAAAAAATAAAAAAATAGGGCTAACCCGGCAGGTTAGGGTTGGCGGGCCGGGCTGGGCCAGCCATTTTCCCAAAAATGGCGGGCCTAACCCGGCCTGCCTTTGTTGGTGGGCGAGTTAGGACCAACCCGCCTAATTAAGTAACCCGCTGCGGGCCGGGCCGGGCAGGTTACTTTTCCACCTCTAATATCAACGGTGGTTTTGGAAAGTTAATTGTAAGGAACATTTGATTAGCCTAATTAAGTATCTACAATTTTGTTAAAGTTGTCGACTACTTTAACAATAAGGGGCCACGCACACGCATTCGGGAGTCCCACTAAACGGGTGGGTGTCAAGGATGCAACGCCCTCGAGCCCATAGGCGGTTTGGCCCTATTTCATGAAGAGTCGCTATAGGATTTCTCTAAGTAATTAAATTCCTAATTAGGTTTGAACCTAGGAAAGGGGATCTTAGTAATATTAGGTTTTTCTCTTTAAACCTAGTATACATACTTATTTTCTCTTGTATGAGTGTGTATCAAATCATAGGGTAAATATATTTATTGTAATGAGAGATGTGAGACATTATTTTAATAATATTTGATTTTGTTGGATATAGCCTATTAATTGGGTGAACTAAAGGTGGAAAAATAACCCGCCCGGCCCAGCCCACGACGGGTTATACTTGTTGACGGGCTAGGGGCTGGTTGGGTTAGGTCCGCCTCTTGGCCAAAAAGGTTGGCCCAGCTCGGCCCGCCAACCCTAACCCAGCGGGTTTTGATGCGGGCTAGGCCGAGTTAGCTCATAATTTTTTTTATTTTTTTTCTTTTGTGTAATTGTTTTTAGTTAACTTTTCAAATATCAATAATTCAATTAAATTAATTTTTTTTTTGGTAACATTTCAAATATTAATTCAATTTTAATACAATGAAATTGTAATATAAGAAAAATTAAATTTATTTATCAAAAAATAAAATAAGAAATTATAACAATTATTGTCTCGTTAAAAACCTTACAAAAAAAAAACCCCAATAGGACAAAAACTTGGTAAGGAAAAAAGAGTGCAATAATTGACAATTAATTTACAAGTTACAATTTACAAAACAACTAATTTGGGGGTTGACTAAGACCTCCCTCATCCGTATCATCTAATTGACGAAGACAAATTCTAGAACTATCGGGAGCTATAGCAACATAGGGAGAAATCAGGGGAATATTGTGACATGTATCAGATTCTGAGACTGGGAAAGCGGGATTATTTGAATCTGTTGCATTTATGTTAGTAAATTCAGGGAGACTAGGATAGTTTCCTTCATCATCAAAATCGATGGGATGGAAATATCTATCCATTATAGTTTAAAAAAAAAATGATATAGAAGAAATAAAAAATTAAAGAAGGAGAATTGGAATTTGGAAATATGAATTGAAAATTGTAAAAACTAATAAAAATTAAAATGAGAGCAAATTGACAACAAAGAGAATAATTGAGAGATTTCAATAGAGATTAGAGAAAATGAGAGAATTTGGGATGTGAGAAAATATGATAGTTTAGGCCCTATTTATAGAAAAAAAGGGGAAAAGAAAATGACAAAAAAGACTCCTCCAACTGCTACAAAACGGCTATATTTCAAGGATAAAAGGGGTATTTGTAAAAAAAAAAAAAATTATTATTTAATTTTTTTGTCCAACCCAACGGATTGACCGTTGGCTTGTAACGACCAACACACCGGGTTGAAAACTCCCTACTTGGCAGGTTGGAGGGTCTTTTTTTTTAAAAGTAAAAAATTTAACCCGCTAGGTTGACATATGAAAACCCAGCCCGTCCGGCGGGATATATGCGGATCGGGTTCAACCTGGCCCGCCTTTTAGGTGGTCCGGATTGAACCCGTCTTAATGCGGGCTGGGTTAGGGTTGACCCGCCTAACTTGACCCATTTGTTCCACCTCTAGGGTGAACCAAGGTAAATCGAACGTATTTTTTCTTTCTCTTTACTAGTTTGATATTTGTGTGTGTTTGGTTGTTTGATTTCGTATTACTCTAAATTGTTTCAAAATTTGAGATCAAAATATTAAAACATAACTCTTATTATTCTTTTCCCTCGTAATCGAATCACTTTAACCACAGGAAAAATAGTCTATTTTAATGCACAGATCACAATAGATGACCACTGCGTTGCTATACATCAATTAAAACATCAAAATCGATATCGTCAACCCCTCACTTAAGGCTCATTGTTAAACAGTTTTTTCAATGTAAACTTGGCGTCGAGATATTATTTTTACATACTTCTGGGCAGCAAAAAGCTTATTCTAGTGTGATGCAGAAAAAGACTTATTCAAACACTTAACTCATTCGAAAAACACATTTTTCTTGTCGTGTTTCCACTTGATTGAACAAAAATATTCTCTATTTATCTACTAACACAGTGCAAGAACGCTTGAACAGAACACCGCTCAAAACCCTATAGGTTAAGCACATTTTTCTTGAGGAATTTGAAAACTTTAGTATAAGAACTCTCGATTGCTAGAATGTTTGAGTCTTATGGTTCTACAACCTTTTTTTTTCATTAAAACATTGAGATAGTTGGAATTGGTACTTGAACCACACGTGATCATTATAATATGATTTGTAGGTGTTATAAAACTAAGTCTACCTAACCAAAATCAAGATTCTAACCAACCA